GTGTCCAGATCTATGCTTTTCTGATGTGAACCAACTGCTTCTTGTAAGCTTGCACTTTGGTATAGCCTTTTTAGGTTTGGTGACAGCAAAGTCCTAGCCAAGATAGCGTAGTGTTTGTGCTGAATTTTGGTATTATGTAGTCTTTGGGAAGTTTATGTATCCCAGTTTAGCAAGTACAGTGGCCAGAAACCAAAAATGTTTAGATTACTCAATACCTTTCGTTTCCTTTTTTCATTTCCCTATGTTTTGGAAAGCCTTGAACACTGAGGAATATAATGTTGTCCATGTCAAGCTGAACTCCTGCAAGCAAATTTCGTTTAGCTGTGTGTTAGTCCTTATAACTGGAATAATCCAAGTAGTTCTTTTTACTTTTACTTTGCTTCTTCCTTGCCATTTCGTAGGGTCCCCAGTGTTCTAATCCCAATACTGTACTGTATGAATGCTTCATTATGGACATGTCCTTCTTTTGGAGAATGTACATTCGTAGGCGTCTGAGGTGTGTTTAAAGAGGCTGCTGTTGGACTGCTTTTCCTTCCAAACTCTGAATGATGATGCATTTTAGCATCTGTGTTCGTACAAGGGTCATCTCTTCCCGACCCGTGTCTGACCAGCACGCTGCGCGTGCAGGCAGAGGGTTAGCAAAGCACCGTTCCCTGCTGCTCGCTTCGTTTCAGCAGGGGCTCGCTATTGCCCTGAGCTGAAATACAGCGATGGATTTAAATTGCCTGCAGTATCACTAACGAGACTGACTTCGAAGCCGAATGCCGTGTTTAACCCTGGAAGGGTTTAGGGGGGTGTGCACCGTCTGGCGTTGTGTCCTGCTGCAGGCACTGGTGAAACCCTACAGAAAAACAGTGGTGGTGGAGGTGAGGCTGCTTAGTTCCCAGGAGCATGCTTGCTTACCTGCTGATTTTAAGTTTTTGTGGATGGCATAGCATTGCAGACAGAGTAGGGGTGGAGAACATGCACACCAGTTTTGTAACAACTTGAAGAGTTTAACTCTTGAGTAAAGAATTATTGTGTGTAAATTGTCAAAAACATAGATTGTGTTGATGGTCTTGCTGTATTGCTACTGCAATCAAATATATGCCATTTTCCCCCAGTATTCTGCATCTGCCTGCTTCAGTGTTCTGAAAGCTCCTTTTTCTTTCTTTACTTATTAACCTAGCAGAATTAATTCAGTTCATGTCGTTTACACTTGGTTCTTTTTATTCTTGATGTTAACGCTTGGTAAGTTAAGCTGGGAGGAAAATGTGGCCTTTATTGTAAAAGCTGACTTCTTAGAGCTGTGAGATTATTTTTTTCCCCACCTTAAAATGGGTTTCCTTCATCTCATTTTCTCCACAGTTGTGTTTATTCTTTCATGCATTGTTATCAAATGTAATATGAGCTCGAAAGGTTTGAAAACAGATTATTTTTTTTCTTTCTAACTGTTCTCTTTATGTCAAATACTGTCTTTGTGTCTCATGTTTTGTATAAGCTGTAGGTTTTCTAGTGAAGAACTTTGTGAATTGCTGTAGTTGAGACCACTAGACACTACTACCTTTTGAGTAATAAAGAGTAATAGTAGTAAGACACAGCATACAAGCTGTCATCCTTGATGCTATGATGAAAGGGATGTTGTAGGTTTAAGTTTTATATGGGGTCTCTGCTGCTTTTCTGTCCGATTTCGAAGAAGCTGGTAGCAAGTCCTGTGGGGAAGGAGTTAGGTTTCAGAAGTTTATTTGGGCTTTTATGTTTTTCTGTAGATGCTTACATCGCAGATCTGAAGCAGATGACAGAACTGGTGTCCAAACAGATCAGTGGAGCAATGAAGGTGAGATCTCTGGGTGCTCCAAGAGGGTCTATTTTTATTTTCTTGATCTGATAGTATGTCACAAAAGAGGGGTTCTAACTCACCTTGGTTATAGTTTTGTACAAAAAAGCCCACGTGTGTGGCTTCGAAGCAAGTACATCTTTAGCTCTGGACTGCTGAAGTTGTATCTGTAGAGCGTTCCCCCTCACATGGTGGTGGGGAAGATTACCCTGTGGCTACAGGAAATACTTTTTACGGAGGTTTTAGAACCTGTGGCATCTGAAAAATAAAACATCTTTTGAAGACCTGTACAACTTCATACAGCACGTGGTGTTTATTACTTCAGTACCAGCTCAGACAGGATCGAGGTGTTCCTGTGGTACTCGGCGTACAGATGGTACGAAGGAGCGTTTAAACTTGGCCCACTCGGCGCCTGGCTTTGACTGCGCACCCTGGTCGCTGTTAGGCTGGTGGCTCTGAGTTCCCAGCCTTCGCCTGCCGTCCTAAGGATCATCTCTGCAGACACTAAAGCTTTTGTGCCTCTCAGAATCTAGTTACTGTATTTCATTCATTGTAACCGCTGTTCTTCCCACGTAACCTGAGATACTTGGGTTTGTTTTTGCAGTCTCTCCCAGCACTAATAGAACGAGCAGAAGGTTTTTCCCAAGCGTTAACTTGGCAACCAACGCTGGAACTCTGCAAGCTGCGGCAAGAAGTCTTTGCTGGCTGCAAGGCAAAGGAGGAAAATAACGTCCAAAATTTCATATCACCAGGAGAAGTTACACCAACAGACACTGATACCAGTAAAAATCCTTGTGTTTTGCTGAAAAGAAAAAAACCCATAGATTCACCAGAACGAAGACGCTACCCACTTCGACGGAGGAAGATTATTCTCAGCACATGAGTTTCTCATTTAGTGTTTTCAGATTGGAAACTCAGTTGTACTCTTGTTCAGTTTTCTTAAAACATCGTCTCCCCTGTAATTCAGTGCTATACATGGGAGTTTCCTTATTTATTGTATTTAAATATTTCTGGTTTTACCGTCACACACGCTTGATGGTATAAGAAAGCCTATGCATACCAGTAGCATCTGATATCCAGCAAGTATATTTGTTGATTAACTCATTTTTTGCTCTTTCATTACGGCATTTAGCTTGAGTCCTACTGCTTCTCAGAGCCTGCATGCATGCTTTGTGTGTGCGGGCAGTCTGTCAGTAAACCACTGAGTGCTCAGCTGCATTAAGCATGTCTCTAAAAAGGTTGGAGAATGTCGTTCTCCTCTTGCATCTTCATTTGTTACTGAGTTGGTTGGCTATTTTTTTAATAAATAAATTAAAAAGGAATTCACACTGGAGGATATTGAAACAGCAGATTTGATACAATGTTTGTTTTTAGAAAATCCACACACAAATGGGACGTTGGTCCCTGCTGTTCCACCCTCCCTGAATTTAGGTTGGCTGGGCTTATTTATAGTCAAGTTTGTTTAAACTTACACTTTTAGTAATTGTATGTATTTACTCGGAGCGTGCCCTTCTGAACAAGGGTACAAGCATCCACATCTTGCCGTCTGCTATTTCATGTCATGTAATCCAATTATGCAGTCTGGGGGTTTCCTGGGACAATATTTCTACACATTGCAGGATCTTGACTTGGGTCATGTATGCGTTTGTGGTGTTTGACTAAGCTTTAAAGCTCAGTAGAGACTACCAGTAAGTGGTATTAACTTGAGCTAACTTACTTCTTTTTTTTTCTTTATACGTTAGTATGTAGGCAATTGCACAGTAGTACTAAACTGAACGTTGTGCCTTAGCCATTCGTAACTCCTTCTGGTTTATGATTGCCTGTGCTTGCAGTAAATACTCGTGTCTAGTATGTAACTTATTTCTCATACAGTAAATGGAGGGGTTTTTTAAAAGCTTTATTAATGAAATGTATCGTGGTAAGAAGATAGGTCAAACTTAATGTTGGAGAGACTGAAATTTTTTAAAAAACATGTGACAGAGTTTAGCATCATTTATTTTGTAAAGGTGAACGTCTGTAGTGAGACCTTGTATATTTAATCATACGTAAGTATTTGCTTCCCAACGCCCTTGTATATACAAACTTGTGTTTTTATACAAAGAAAATTAAATCAATTAGGAAGATCAAAGTTTCAGATAATGTTGTCTGTTCTAATCCTGGAATAGATGGTGACTGAACAGCGAGCGTACTTCAGAAGACATCTGTGTTAAATTTTGGCTGGAGTAACTGAAGTAGTTCCACTGACTGCCTTTGAACTTACAACTGTTATTAATCTCGGGGCTACAAAGCGTCTAATGTGAGAGAGGACAGGATGTGAGAGGGGCTGGAGCTGCGAAGCTGTGGAACGTGTGACTGGGTCGGTTTGTCACACAGCGCCTTGCTATTCTAGCTGCTTTGAGTGCGCGTGCTCCGTGCTGCATTGAAAATCCCCACCGTGGCTTTCTTCAGGATCTGCAGATACTCTGCAACCTGCGAGTTCCTAGGCTGAGAGGAGCCCTGCAAGATTTTGCATGGCTGCCATTCCAGTATTTGAACATCTTCTGTGTTAACGAGAAGATTCCTGTGATTCTCTGTGAATAGTGGCAGGCAAGTACGGAAAATAGCTAGGAATAGGCCTGTCTTTCTGAAGAGATCCCATCAAAAATGGCCAGGGTAGGACAAATGCCTTAAGAAATAAGGAGAGAGAGAGAGCACTGTGGATTAAGGCTTAATAAGTGGTTTCATGAACTCACCTTACAGTGAGCGTTTGTGTTAAGAGGTTGCGGGATAGTTGGTCTGGGAAGGAATGCCCCGAGCTAGAGCAGTCGGGCCTTGTTCAACTGCAGTTGGGTGGAGAAAGCAAACAAATGCATCTGGAAACGCTGGCCAGATAGGTCATGTAAAGAAGGATAAAGAAAACAGTCAAGATTCCAAGTGCAGCATATAAACTGTGAATTTACAGATCTCTGCTGGCTGCTTTTGGCCAAGCAGCAGTGGGAGGTGTTGGAGGACCCCCCCTTTAAATGCAAGTTCTGTGATGAGCTAAACTCAACACTTGAATCATCGGCCGCTTTTCAAATAATTATTAAAAATTCCTACAGCAAGTGATACCTGCAACTAGTCGTGCCTGGGGTCTGTTCTCCCCACTGGCAGAAATACATAAAATGCTTCATTTTTTCATTCCAGTAGCCTTTTGTCCTTCAGTTAACTTTTCATAGAAATCAGCAGTGTTGTGCAAGACGAGTGTCTAATCAGGTTTCTACTGCAGTGTCACAACATCCAAACTTCTTATTTTTAACTTGGGGCGAATTGGTATTGCATCAAGAAATGTCTGGTAGTTTTTCTTTATATAGCCTTTGCATTTTGTAAGATTGACACAGCTCAATGGTGATGGATGCTTGGGAACATTTGCAAACAGAGTTTGAATTTCTTGAATTTTTGAGGTGAGATCGAAGATCTCACTGTTTGTCAGCGCGAGCTGTCAGCGATGTGCTTATCGCCCGTGAGGGTAGGCCATCCCCTACCCAAGAAGAACTTGCAAACTGGAGCAGTATCCGCGCACGCTTCTGCTGTGTGCAGCTTCTGAACGAAGGGGGTTACAAACAGCGTGCGGGGAAGCTCCTCTTCCAGAAATCTTCACGTGGACACCGACGTCTGGAAGCTTGGGCGCGCTGGTGCTCCGAAACCCGTTCTGATACGTTCTTCAGAAGAGCCGCGCTGTGCTGAGCTGCGTTCAGCCACTCCAGTCAGCGTGTGTGTAGGCTGCTCCGGCGCAGACAGAAGTCAGTGATAAACTGCCATTATATATAAAATGTGAACTCAGCGGACTAGGCTGCTTTCTGGGCTGTTTTGTCTCCCGCACAGTAACACTCTGCCTTTACTGCTGCGTTACCTGGAATTACTGTGTAGGCATTTCTACAGAAGTACCAGAGATAGCTTTAATACTAAGCAGAAACTTGTTCCCACAAGCAAATTTTGACTTTTCATTTCCTTTGCCACTTTGAACAAGAGCAGACTGTATTCGGGCTCAAGGGAACTGTCCTGTGACTTGTCCCGTACTTGTGGGATCCTGGAAACCTTACTCTACGCCTGCCGAGAGTTACTCAGTGAAGTAGATACTTGTTCAGTACTGATAAATTCTTGGTAAGCTGTTCAGGCCTTGATGCTGTTAGATAGCCTGCGTGTGCAGTTGCCATTAACAGCAGCCTCGCTCCTAGAACAGCACGGCAGTTTCGTGTGGGGTCAGTTCAAAGTCCCTCTGTGGAAGGGGGCTTTTTTCTCTGCAGATCACTCTGAAGGGCTGTTGAGGTACTTTGTCCGCATGGTTATGAAAATCCCAGCTTTTAGTCCCATTTATTTCAACTGTGTTTAAGCTACAAAGGCAGCAAGGAGCCTGGTGCTCTCTTTAAGCAACTGTCCCAGCTAAGTCTCTACTCATGCCCATATTTCTACTCCTTTTCTTTAGCTGCTTGATGTGTAGCTAACGCAGGATTGGACTGTTTCAGAGGAGCGGTTGAGAGCAATTCACCCTCTAATCACCGCCAGTCGGCTAGTGGGCCTTTTCCAGAGATGGTCTGGATCCCCTCAGCTGGGGAATGGCACTGAACCCACACCTGGTGAGCATCCTGGTGTTGGTGTGCTGGATGACGGAGGAAGGGAGAAGCAAGACTGCTTTTAAAGAAACTGGGGGGCGGTGGCTGGGAACATCCTGTAAGATGCTTGAGAGACCCAGCGCAGTCTGGGAGCACAGCTGAGTTCACGGTGCTTTGGTGAGGGGGCCCTCGGGGTTGTGGGTCCCCGTGCCCATTAGGTTGGGGAAGGCTCATAGGTACTTAGTCCTCTGGAGTCAGAAGAGCTCTGAGAAAGTGCAAAAGCCAAGGTATGGGTAGCCTAGAAGGTGGAGCTACAAGCTGCTTTGAGGTGGAACAGCTGAGAAAAAGCGTCTCCTGCTGGGGAAGTCCTGCTCAGGTTTTTCAGTGATGCTGATGGTTCTGGAGCCTCCCAGGAAACCTGTGGCAGAGCACAGGCTTCGGTTGGGCTCTTGGACTCCTAGGCAGTGTGGTTCTCTCACCTTCAGCATGAACTGTTAGCCAGATCTTCCTGAAAGGACAGTCTATATTTACTCAGTTTGCAAACTTTGTAACCTCATCTTCTTATAAGCTGGATGACTCAAACTTCTGGGGAAAACAGAAAAATAAGGAAGTATCTGATTTATTAAGATACCCGGGGCTTTATGACTGATGGCCCCGCAGTTTGGGGGCACTTAACCCTCCTTGCATGGCCGTGCGTTTGCCCCTGTGAGTCAAGCACAGCCAGGAGCGCACCCCAGTTACCGTCTGCGGGCGGGTCGACTGTAGAGCAAGGATGTTGTTGAAGTACCTGTGGGTGCAAAGACTGTCCCTTCCTTCAGAGTCGAGGGCCAAGATAACGGTTCCATTAAAATGTAAGGAAAGTGTTTGGAGGGCTAAAAGAAACGTTCTTCAGTCTGTTAAAATACTCTCGACGGAATAATCGAACAGAGCAACTTTTGTCGGCAGCAAGTGTGTGTTCAGCAGCCCTTGCCTGTCTTCGCCTTTACAAGAAGCCTGTGGCATTTCCTTATTATTTAAAGGAACAGGGCGAGTAGCGAAAGTGAAAATCACTTTATCCCAGCGCCGATGCCGTGTCCTCACGCCCACG